GAAGTGAAGATAGATGGTCGGCAACTACACCACCTCTGCTTTGCTGATGACATTGTTTTAGTAACACCAAACATCAGCCAAGCGGCACAAATGCTGGCCGACTTTGACTGTGAGTGTGGAAAGGTAGGACTACAGCTGAATCTTACGAAGACAATGTTTATGAGAAATAGCCTCATTCCTGACTCCCCATTCACTCTCAATGGAACGATCATCTCCGAATGCAACAGGTATGTGTACCTAGGTCGAGAAGTCAACATGACAAATGACCTGGCACCCGAGCTGCGCAGGAGGAAGAGAGCGGCTTGGAACGCCTTCAAGAGCGTCGAAGAAATAGTTAAGAGGACCAAGAACCTCCAGCTCTGGGCACATCTCTTTGATTCCACTGTTCTTCCTGCATTAACATATGCCTCAGAGTCCTGGGCCCTACGCAAACAGGATGAGAACGCTATTCAGGTCTCCCAAAGAAGAATTGAAAGAGCTATGCTTGGAATATCACGTTTCACTCAAATGAGAGAAAGAATCCTGAGTTCTGACCTCCGCCGACGACCAAGAATCAGGGACGCTGTCTTGTTTGCCAAGGTGTCAAAAATCAGATGGGCTGGTCACGTAATGAGATTTAAAGACGACCGCTGGACTAGAGCTGTTACCCACTGGATTCCACGGGATGTTAAAAGACCGCGTGGCCGCCCACCTACCAGATGGTCAGACTTCTTTATCAAGATCATGAATGATCGGTTTGAGGCTCTTCATGTTCCTAGAGCGAACAGACGCCTTTGGCTACACTAGCACGCGACAGGGACAAATGGAGATGTTACTGGCGCCCACTTGAGCAAATCGATGATTAACGGGAAGTTAAGTGATTAAGTGATTAAGTGATGAATTTCAAGAGTATTTGATCAATTTCTTTGAAGAATGTCATGGGTACCCTTATAGGAATCACATTGAATCCGTATAATAATGCCTTAGGGAGTATTGACATTTTGACAATATTAATTCTCCTATCCATGAGCAGGACATGTGTTTCCATTTCCTCGTGTCCTCTTTTATTTCTTTTTTAAAGATTTATTTTATAAGTTAATTCATAATATTTTATTACATTTAATATTCAAACACCCATTCCCACCACCAAATTCGGTTTCCATGTTTCCATCCCAAGCCTCAATCCCTGTCACAAAACACAACCGAAATAATATATTTTGTATTGTCTGTTATGAAGAACTGCTGAACATGCTTACAAAAAAGAGTTCATATAGGAAAAAGTGTGAAGATTTTGTTTTTGGCAGGAGCCATTAAGACATTCTATAGGATATCACTAACATGTTAAATGTGATGTGAGCTTTGGTGTATATATATATATATATCTGAAAATATGTATATATGCATGTATATATATGCATGTATATATATTCCCCTCTATAATTTGTTGCCTACTATCTGGATCCCATCAGATATGGTGTGGTAATTATGGAGAATAGGTAGGGACTGTCCTAAGATGTGTCATGCAGCTGCAAAAGTGGCCATGCAGTCCAGGAATATGTTCATTCATATGTGAGGCTAGGCCCGAACATGTGGGGAGCACCTTTGAGCATGGTGGCGGTTGGGTTGTGGAGATTTTCAGCTGCCAGAGCTGGATCTCCTGGGGCAGGGAGGGTTCTCACCCGCCCCCTCTGGAGTGCCCCGAGTGAAACAGCCTAGTGTAGAGACCCGTGGCATGGCTATGGGTGCCTCATGTTGTGCCCTCTTTTATTTCTTGAAGTTGTGTTTTGTAGTTTTCTTTATACAGGTCCTTTACCTCCTTAGTAAAGCTGATTCTGAGGTACTTGATTTTCTGAGGCATGATTGTGAAAAGAATTGCCTCTTCCATATCACTTTCTTCTCTTATTATTTGCGTATAGGAAAGCCAAAGAGAGTTGGAGAGTTTCTTTTGGGTATTGATTAAATAGCCTGTGACTTTACTGTACAAGTTTATTGTTTTTAGGAGTCTCTTTTGATAGAGGCTTGAGGGTTCTCTAAATATAGTGTCATGTCATTTGCAAATAGTGAGAGTTTGATTTCTTCCTTTCCTATTTGGATGCCCTTAATGTCTTTTTCTTGCCTCACTGCTACAGCGAGTACTTTCAGTACTATATTGAATAGTAGTGGTGAGAATGAGCATCCTTGTCTTGTCCCTGGTCTTAGAGGGAAGGCTGTTAATTTTTATCCATTGAGGATAATGCTTGCCATAGGCTTGTGATAAGTGGCTTTGACTATATTGAGAGAAGCTCTTTCAATTCCAATTTTGGTGAGTTTTCATCATAAATGGGTGCTGGATCTTGGCAAATGCTTTTTCTGCATCTATTGATATGATCATATGGTTTTTACCTTTTATTGATATGATGGATTATATTGATTGACGTGCAAATGTTAAACCATCCTTGCATCCCTGGGATGAATCCCACTTGGTCGTGGTGCATGATCTTTTTGATGAATTGCTGGATTCTATTTGCTAATATTTTGTTGAGAATCTTCACATCCATATTCATCAGGGATATTGGCCTGTAATTTTCTTTTTTGCTGGTGTCTCTGCTTTTGGTACTGGGTGATATGTGCCTCATAGAAACTATTTGGGAGAGTTTCTGTTTCTTCAGTTTCCTGGAAAAACTTGAAAAGAACTGGCAGTAAGTCCTCTTTAAATGTTTGGAAGAATTCATTAGTGAATCCATCTGATCCTGGGCTTTTGTTTTTGGGAAGACTTTTGATTACTGTTTCAGTTTCCTTGATAGTGATAGGTCTATTCAGGTACTCCAGATCTTCTTGGCTCAGCCTTGGGAGATTATAAGAATGCAGGAATTTATCCATTTCTTCTAGATTCTCTTGTTTCGTGGTATACAGACTTTCAAAGTAATCTCTGATGATCTTTTGAATTTCTTTGGTTCCTGTTGTGATGTCCCCCTTTTCATTTATAATTTGGTTTATTAGGGTTGTCTCTCTCTCTCTCTCTCTCTCTCTCTCTCTCTCTCTCTCTCTCCTTCTGAGTCTTGCTGGTGGTTTATCAATCTTGTTTATTTTCTCAAAGAAACAGCTCTTGGTTTCATTGCTCTTTTGGATAGTTTTTTTGGGCTTCCATGTTGTTAATTTCTGCTCTACGTTTTACTATTTTCTTCCTCCTGCCTGAATTTCCTGTTGAGGTTTCAGGGATCTTTTCTTCATCCACTCCTTGTGGAGGGGATCTGCACTGTTTCTTCATGTTGCTGTGGTAGTATGGAGGTGGGTCCCTCCAGTTCACTATCAGTGATCACCTCTCGCTGCAAGGAAGGATTCTAGATGGGCTCGGTCGATGGTGGTCTCCTTTTTCCCCTTTAAGAATACTACCTCTTTGGTGCTCTTCTGTGCCTTATGTGGGGCCACTAGTGTAGCTTCAGGGGATGCGTTCTTTTTCATTGGGCTTGTTCGATTCTTTGTGTTTGCTGTTATATTGGAGGGTTTTTTTGGAGTATTTTGATTGGAATAGGCTAGTGGAGTATTGGCCTAATGTGTTTGAGATAGCCAGGATGTCCTCTTCAGAATTAGGTAATGGAGGCTGAGCTATGAGTCCAAAGTGTCAAGAAGGGGAAAAATAACTGCGGCCTTGAGGCCACACCCATCAGCTGCTATACCTGTGTGGGGAGAGAGGGGGTCACTTCAGTGTCTGCACGGGGTTTGGAGCTGATCCTGGTTTTGGCACTCCTGAGGCTTGCCAGGTTCCCCCCGGCCAGGCGCTCCAAGGGAACCTTGGGGGGGAAGGGGGCTTTCAGGGTCCCAGGGCACCAGCCACTGTACCATGCAGATGATTGAATTCTTTACTGAACTTGCTCAGAGGCCCCCACTCAGGACTTTGGATTGAATTCAGTTAGTGTTCCTGTACCATGGGAGTGATTCTTAGATTGTTCCCTATTCCAGCCTCTTGATTATTAATCCAGTAGATGATGATGATGATGATGATGATGATGATGATGATGATGATGATGGTTTTAGGGTACTGCTTATTAGGCAGTGCTCAGGTCTTGTTTCTAGCTCTGTGTTCAGGGATCACTCCTGGCAGGGCTTAGGAGAACATATGGATTGAACTCAGGTTGGCTGCGTGCAAGCAAGTGCTCTACCTACTGTACTATCTCTCTGGCCCCCTAATTCAGTAGATATCTTAAAACAGCTCCTCACCTCCCGCTCAGGAGAACATGGTTCCTCTTTGTAGAGCTTGCAGAAATCACTTTTTGTTTAGATTTCGTTATTGTTACCTTTTTATATAAAACACCAGAGAGACAGATAAAGAATACTTTCAAGTGAGAATGACTTCTAGTTGTTTATATTTGTATTTCTTTGAGTTTAAATTTTCTCACTCCTTGACATTGCCATGTCTGATTGTATGAATAGTTGTTTGTATTGTATGTATTGTATGTATTGTATGAATAGTTGTTTACCTTTTAAATAAAGCACAAATATTTTAGGTCTTTTTTTATTTGACAAAGTATTATATGAAACTAACGCAAGTAGTTTATAGTGGATAGTTGGTGTCCCTTACCTCCCCATCCCACAACTCTTCTGCTCAGGAGCCATCTCTGCCACCTGCTTCTGACCACTCTTTTTAACCATTTGCTTCACTAGTAAACTGGGAACAATATTGTAGCAATCCAGTTCTTCTCACCCTGCAATATGTCTTTTTGGTTAACCCCCTCTACAGTGACTTTATAATCTTTCACAGTCTATTTAAACCGTTTTAAACTGTTTACTCTGTTTAAACCGTTCTCATGTTGATCGGTTGTTTCTAGTTATGTCCCCCAAATCACAATCATTCATGACCTTGAATATACTTTTTTTGTACCTTCCCACCCATCCATAAGATATATTTTCTAGAAGATAGAATTGCTGGGTCAAAAGACATGTATTATTTTTGGTGGCTGGAGATTGTGTGTTATGAAAATAATTTTTACAGGACAATTGACACTAATATTAATTTTTAAAATTTAAATTTTTTTGTTCCTTAGTATGGTATTTCTCCTTCATACTCTGTTTGCCCTAAATGTGGGGCTAGCAATCACCCATCTGCCCGATTCTGTGGCTCCTGTGGTTTTTATGTGGAGTGCTTGACAAGATTTAGCATGGACAACAATCTGACTCGAGTTCCTGGAGAACTAGGCCCTTTTGCTGAGGTAAGGCCTTCTCTGAGGTAAGAATTGGTAGTGGGAGGAGGTTGGGATTGAATTTGGAGCTCCCCCTGAATTAGCCTGGGAGAAGAGAGACAAATCTTCAGGAACTTTCAATGAAATGTGGAAATTAATTCAATTAATTTAGGTTTTACCTTTCCTTGTAGCCAACCCTCATTTGATCCCTGCTATCGCATATGGTCCTCCAGACACTGCCAGGGTTTTACTCCTGAGCACAGAGCCAGGAGTAGTCGTGAGCACTTGAGGTTGTGGCCCCAAGCCTCCCTTCCCAATAAAAGAATGAAAACATAAAAATCTCAATGATTTCTTTAGAAATAAGAAATGTAAATATGTATTTATTTGTAGTAGAATGAGGTTTGATTAATCTTCAAACTAACAGGTGTAATGTTATTAGAAGGAAGTGGGTTTAAACTACTTAATATCAGTGTATTTTTCTTCTCTTGGCTTTCTTTTTAAATTTTGGGCTATATTCTACAGTGTTCAGGGCTTACTGCTGGCTCTGAGCTCGGAAATCACTTGTGATTGGACTTATAGGGACCATATGTGATGCTAGGGATCAAACCTGGGTTAGTGCATGCAAGGCAAGCACTGTACTATCACCCAGGCCCTAGTTTTTTTTATTTTGGGGGAAGGGAAGTATTGTGCCATACCTGTCAGTTCTCAGTGGCTATTCCTGGCCCTGTGCTCAAGAGTGATACCTAAAAGTGCTCAGGTGTCAGTGTATGTGATACCATGGATTGAAATGGAGCCCATAGGATACAAGGCAGGTGTCTTAACTCCCTGTACTATATGACACTTGAATTTCTTATGTAGCATACCAAAAACTTTACTCCTGTTCTTTCAATGTTTTGGGAAACTTAGATTGGGTATATAATATTGATTTTGTCATTATAAATGCATAATTTGAGGAAAATTTCATGAAGTTAGTTTTAGAAAGACATCTTATCAAATTAGCTTTGTGTTAGCATTTTATGAGTTTCTCTAAGCTGAAGACTCTTCATTAGAAGAACTTGGAAATTGCTAGTTATTAGAGTTACTGCATGTGCACTCAGCAACTTTGCACCAAGTGTTAGGGAGTTCGTGTCCTTTTTTTCCTTTTTAATATATTTGATTGTTTTTGTTTGCATTTTCTTAGTCAATAGACAACATGTATTTGGTAATGATTGTCATTTCCTCCTTCATTTTGAACCTTTAAACTCTCCGTATTATTTATTTATTTAGTTAGTTAGTTTCTTTGGGTCATACCCAGTGATGCTCAGGGGTTATTCCTGGCACTGCACTCAGGAATTACTCCTGGTGGTCCTGGGGGGACCATATGGAATGCCAGGGATCAAACCTGGGTCTGCTGCGTGCAAGGCAAACGCCTTACCCACTGTACTATCGCTTCAGCCCATTCATGACCATTGTAATCCATATTGAAAGACTTAAAGATCCTGGCATTGCTGATAATTCATGAGGCACCTTTTGTACAAATGAGGCAAAGATATTTTTCCTAAGATGTCTCATAGACAATTTTTGTAAACAGGCAATAATACAGTAGTTTGTTAGACATTTTATTACACCTGCCAAAAATTTTGTCCTAATAAATACAGTATCTAATGTACACATTCTGAATGCTTTGTCCTTTTAGATGAGGGAGTGTTTTGCAGTGCACAAACCATACAACATTTCATGGTGGTGCACTTGGGGTTTCAGGTCCAAATGCAGGACAATGTCTTAGAGAAAATCTTGTGACCCTAAACTTAATTGAGTGTGGGTGGATAGTCAAGTCTACACTCCATGGGATTAAGGAGCAGAGAGGGTAGATGTATTTTAGGACTCAGGCAGCAGATCATGAGATATCAGTTGATTTACAGAATTTGAGGTAGTACATAGTCAAAGCAGGGGAGACTATCTTCAAAGATCAATCTGAGAATGTTGGGACAAAAGAAAAAAATAAAGCAAAGGGCTGTGGAAACCCCTTCTGTAGTACAGCTTTTAGGAGATACTTTTATTTATTAGAATTGACTGTGTGAAAAATGGAGAATTTATTAAAAAAATTTTTTTTTTACATTTTTTGTCTTACTCATGTAGCCTAGATTGGTCTGGCAGCCCCTAAGCATTCCTTTGTCCAAACCTGATGCTGAAACTAAGAAAGATGTAGGCACACAGACCACTGGCCTATTCTATCCATCTGGCAAGATACTAGCAAAAAAGGAAATGGAAATGACTTTTCAAAGGCAGAGGCAGGAGAAAATGAGTGATCACAAACCTCTCCTCACAGCTGTCAGTCCCGGAAGAGGTGAGAAAGACATGCTCTCTCATCAGGAGGGAATTAATTTTTTCTTTGAAAGAAAACTTCGTTTTGTATTGAATTATCTTATATTTCCTTGTTCAAGAATTTTCCCTTCCATGAATAATACTGTTCCTTAAACTTAGCACTCTGGTATTTTGGTTCATAACCCCAGTGTCTAGTGTGTAAATGAAATAGCACATATGGTTTTCCACTCTTATTGTAGAAATGTCGTTAAACTTTGTCTTTATTGCTATCTGCCATTCTCTCTCTATTTTCCCTTAGTTTTAACAAATACTTTTTCAAAACACATATCATTATTTAATCTCATTAAAATATTTGGGTAGTGGAGGTAGTGGATACTACCTCCACTACCCAGCCGTCGCCACACTCCAGGACGCTTTCCGGACCCGCGTGGCAACTCCGGCCGAGACTCACGCACGACTGAAGACCCACAGAACAAGATAAGCAGAACTCTCTGAGACATTGGACTCCAGCTCGGCAGACCCAGGGACAGAGTTTCTCTGCTTGCTCCCACCAACCACAGGTGACAAAGGGATTCTAATCAGGAGCCCCACCCTACCCTGCCCTGTCTGCTTCCATCAACCACCCAGAGATCGGATTGCGCACAGAAGACCCACCCTACCCAGATAAATACCCCACTGGCAGACTTCCACTATCGACACTACCTCCACTACCCAGCCGTCGCCACACTCCAGGATGCTTTCCGGACACATCATAAGACACTAAATACCCATCTTCAGGAATTGTCGTACCATATTTGATAGGGTTCAAATATGGTAACACCTACAATGGTGATTAGAGGTCGCCCCAAAAGCCTCTATCCCTCTCAGAAAGACTGGCAAGCTACCGAGTGTATTACGCCTGCACAGAAGAGCCTGGCAAGCTATCCGTTGTGTATTCGATATGCCAAAACCAGTAACTACAACTGGTCTTATTCACCTGACCCTGAAGGCTTCACCGACATGGCAGCACTGAGAAGGATGAGAAAGGAGAGGCCGACAAAATCTCAAGGCCGAACTAGGCTGCCACAACGAAGGAAGACAAAAATGATCATCTGTACTTTCAATGCACATACGCTAGCATCAGATACATCCATCGAGGACCTGATGGTACAAGCGCGAATGATCAAGTACGACATCATTGGTCTGACCAAGACAAGAAGGCATGAATCTCACCATGCTGTTTTCGACACTGGAGAAGAATTGTTCCTCGAACATGCGATAAAGGAGGTGTCGGAGGCGTCGGTGTCCTTGTCAACACAAACTTGGCCAAGAGCATTGATTCATTCGAATACCTAACAACCCAAATCGGACGTTTACATTTGAATAGATGTGGCTCACTGCCTGCAGTTTCTATCTTCGTTGTCTATGCACCAACATCTCATTATGATGAAAGAGAAATCGAGAAGTTCTACATGGAGCTAGAGAAGTTCTATAAAGAAGACCACACCTTCTACAAAATCATTGTGGGTGATTTTAATGCCAAGATAGGACCGAGAAGATCAGCTGAAGAACTTCACATTGGGACCCATGGCCTAGAATGGAACGAACAGGGTGAGAGACTGTCTGAGTTCATCATGTCGACCAAGACCATCCAAGGTAACTCACAGTTCCAGAAGGCAGAATCTAAACGATGGACATGAGAGTCTCCCGGTGGACAATTCCACAACGAAATAGATCACATCATATTCAATCGACGGTTTTGCCTGACCAATGTCGCTGTTGTCCCAAAATTTCAAACGGGATCGGACCACCGTCTCCATGTGCAAAATTCTACTTCACAGAGCGGGGAGAAAGGGCTGCAAAGTTCAAAAAGAGAACTCCCAGAACGACCACCAACTGGGAACTCTTTGGCACTATTGCGGCAACATGGGAAGATGCCATTGTTGACAACATTGACGAGGAATACGATCGACTGGTTCAGCACCTCCATGAATGTGCGAGGAACGCCAAGAGAGAGATAGCCACAAAAAAACGCCCATCTTCGAAAACTCTTGAGCTAATTCGCCAGCGTGGTTTGGCGCATGCCTCAGGCAACCACAAGCTAACGTCTGAGCTCGCAAAGCAGTGCAGAGATGCGATCAAGGAAGACCTCAAAGAGAGAAGAGCAGAAGTACTGGTAGATGCAGCAGAAGCTGGGAAAAGTATTCGTTACGCCCGCCTGTCCTTCGCCAACTACAAGACCAAGATGACTGCCCTCCGACATCCTGATGGATCCATCACATCCTCCAGAATGGCAATGGAGAAGATTATCCATGGCTTCTACTCAAATCTCTTCGATAGCCATGTCCACTTGCCGACATACCAAATTCCACAGGATGGATATGTCGTTCCCAACGTTCTCCCTTCCAAAATCCGACACGCCATTTCGTCGGTAAAGAAACAAATAGCACCTGGCCCAGACAAGGTCAGACCTGAACACCTGAAGAACCTGCCATCAGTACTCATCAATACACTGGCTCGGCTCTTCACTCGCTACCTGTCTGAATGCAAGGTTCCGTCCCAATGGAAAACCAGCAGGACCGTACTACTGTTCAAGAAGGGAGACATCCATGACATTGGCAGCTATCGCCCTATCTGCCTATTGTCTGTCATCTACAAGTTGTTCACTCGAGTCATCCTAAATAGGATTGGCAGAACACTAGATGAAGGACAACCATGCGAGCAAGCCGGGTTCCACAAAGGATTCAGCACCATCGACCATATCCACACGATAACCAAACTCATTGAGGTTTCTCGGGAGTTCAAGATGCCGCTCTGTTTAACGTTCATTGATTTAAAGAAGGCCTTTGATTCTGTTGAGACGGAAGCGGTCATTGAAGCCCTAGCCAATCAGGGCATTCAAGCCCAATACATCAGGATCCTCCGTGAGCTGTATTGCGGATTCACTACCAGGATCTCACCATTCTACAAAGAAGTGATTGTTGATGTCAAGAGAGGGGTTCGGCAGGGTGATACTATTTCACCGAAACTCTTCAGTGCCACCCTCGAGAACATCATGCGACGACTAGAATGGGAAGGAATGGGAGTGAAGATAGATGGTCGGCAACTACACCACCCCCGCTTTGCTGATGACATTGTTTTAATAACACCAAACATCAGCCAAGCGGCACAAATGCTGGCCGACTTTGACCGTGAGTGTGGAAAGGTAGGACTACAGCTGAATCTTACGAAGACAATGTTCATGAGAAACAGCCTCGTTCCTGATGCCCCATTCGCTCTCAATGGAACGACCATCTCCGAATGCAAAACAGCTATGTGTACCTAGGTCGAGAAGTCAACATGACAGATGACCTGGCACCCGAGCTGTGCAGGAGGAAGAGAGCGGCTTGGAATGCCTTCAAGAACATCGAAGAAATAGCTAAGAGGATGAAGAACCTCCGGCTCCGGGCACATCTCTTTGATTCCACTGTTCTTCCTGCATTAACATATGTCTCAGAGACCTGGGCCCTACGCAAACAGGATGAGAATGCTATTCAGGTCTCCCAAAGAAGAATAGAAAGAGCTATGCTTGGAATATCACGTTTCACTCAAATGAGAGAAAAAAATCCGGAGTTCCGAAATCCGTGGACGATCAAGAATCAGGGACGCTGTCTCATTTGCCAAGGTGTCAAAAATCAGATGGGCTGGTCACGTAATGAGATTTAAAGACGACCACTGGACTAGAGCTGTTACTGACTGGATTCCTTGGGATGTCAAAAGACCACGTGGCCGCCCACTTACCAGATGGTCAGACTTCTTCGTGAAGATCATCAAACGATCGGTTTGAGGCTCTTCATGATCCCAGAGCGAACAGATGCCATTGGGCTACACTAGCACGCGACAGGGACAAATGGAGACATTACTGGCGCCCGCTCGAGCAAATAGACGACTAACGGGAAGTTAAGTGATTAAGTGAAACTATTTGGAATATCATGACATTGCCTCTTTTTTTATTGTGGTAAATTTCACACAGGGTTATCTCCCATTTTAACCATTTTAAAATATACAGTTCAGGCTAGAGAGATATTACATGGGTAAGGCATTTGCTTTGCATGCAACTGACGCCAGTTTAATCCCTAGCACCATGTACATTCCTCTAAGCAATCACCAGGAGTGATCCCTGAGCACAGATCCAGGAGTAAGTCCTGAGTGTGCGACAAGCCTCCCCCGAAAACCAAAAAACAGAAACCGTAAAGTAATTTTAGTGAATTTTAGCACATTAGCAGTATTATACTGCCATGACTACAGTCTATTTCTAGATTTTCATCATCTCCAAGATGAGTCCTATAATGTTTAAAATTAGTTTCTCTCCATACTCCTAAGTTTTTGTCAGAGCTCTCAGAGTGGATCACTGCAATGATGTGGCAAATATTTGCCAGGGTTCACACTTCTAGCCATGATGCTTACACAGCTGTTTTTAGTTGTGGTACTCACTAGAGGTATGTTGAGCAGAGAATTCCTAATAGTACTCAGAATCTGCTCCTGGCTCTGTGCTTCCTGGCTCTGTGCTTAAACCTCCTGCCTGGTAATGCCCAGGGGACCATATGCAGTGCCAGGTATTGGACCGGGGTCAGTCATGTGCAAGACTTACCCACTGTACTATCTCTCTAGCTGTTACCACAAAATTTCACATAACCCTAAGTATATCACTTAATCACTTAACTTCCCGTTAGTCATCGATTTGCTCGAGCGGGCACCAGTAACGTCTCCATTTGTCTCTGTCGCGTGCCAGTGTAGCCCAATGGCATCTGTTCGCTCTGGGAACATGAAGAGCCTCAAACCCATCGTTCATGATCTTGATGAAGAAGTCTGACCATCTGGTAGGTCGGCGGCCATGCAGTCTTTTGATATCCCGTGGGATCCAGTCGGTAACAGCTCTAGTCCAGCGGTCGTCTTTAAATCTCATTACGTGACCAGCCCATCTGATTTTTGACACCTTGGCAAACGAGACAGCGTTCCTGATTCTTGATTGTCCACGGATGTCGGAACTCCAGATTCTTTCTCTCATTTGAGTGAAACGTGATATTCCAAGCATAGCTCTTTCAATTCCTCTTTGGGCTACCCGAATAGCATTCTCATCCTGTTTACGTAGGGCCCAGGTCTCTGAGGCATATGTTAATGCAGGAAGAACAGTGGAATCAAAGAGATATGCCCAGAGCCGGAGGTTCTTGGTCCTCTTAGCTATTTCTTCGACGCTCTTGAAGGCGTTCCAAGCCGCTCTCTTCCTCCTGCGCAGCTCGGGTGCCAGGTCATTTGTCATGTTGACTTCAACCCTAAGTATATAGGTATATAAAATAGGTAAATAAACCAAACACATACTGATAATAAATCAAAAAGATATTTAGTATAAGACAAAATTTTAAGATTTTTTGCAACTTCCCACATTCAGTTATACAACCTCATATGGAATTGAGATTCATAGTTTAAGAAGCTAAGAACCAAACCTCCAACACTTGACATGCTAGACGCTGGGAAGAGCTCAAATGAATGGATCACATGCTGGCAAGAGGAGTCCATAAGTTTGAGTCCCATGGACCTCACAATCCTCCAAGCATCGCTGGGTGTGGACATGGTGGCCCCAACACTGCTGAACCACCACGTGTAGCACAGCATCCAGCCAGGATCACCTAGCATGGCACGCAGGTCCCTGAGTACTGCTTGGAAGCATTATTCCAAAAATCCTGACAATCCCCTTCCTTTGTTGATATGTCCTCAAGTTCCTGGACCCTTTTCCCCACTGGTGTTCCTTATTAACCATTCTCTGATGTGAAGTGCTTGGTTGTGCATGTGGGCACATGAGCGCATATATATGACAGCGTTTTTTTTAAATTAATATTTTTATTGAAACACCGTGAGATACAGTTACAAAGCTTTCCATGATTGAGTTTCAGTCATACAATGACCAAGCACTCATTCCTCTACCAGTGCTCATTTTTCACCACCAATGTTCCCAGTATCCCTCCCATCACTCGACCCTATCCCACCCCCTGTTTCTGTGGCAGGCACGTTCCTTCTGACTCTCTCTGTCTTTTGGGCATCATGGTTTGCAGTACAGATACTGAGAGGCCATCAAGCTTGGTCCTTAGTCTACTTTCAGCATGCAACTCCCATCCTGACCAATACCTCCAACCATCGTTGACTTAGTGGTCCTTTCTCCATCCCAACTGCTTTCTATCTAGCACATGAGGCAGGCTTCCAAACTGTTAAGTGATTCACCTGGTCCTTCTCTCTACTTCTTCGGGTGTTAGTCTCATGTTATTTTATATTCCACAAATGAGAGCAGTCATTCTATGTCTGTCCCTCTCTGACTTATTTCACTTAGCATGATACTCTCCATGTCCATCCACTTATAAGCAAATTTCATGGCTTCCTCTTTTCCAACAGCTGCATAGTATTCCATAGTGTAGATGTACTGTAATTTCTTTAATCAGTCATCTGTTCTCAGTCACTCAGGTTGTTTCCAGATGTTGGCTAATGTGAACAGTGCTGCAATATGACAGTGTTCTTATTCCTTTCCTTTTGTTCTAGGATATTGCATGAATAAAATGTTTCCCAAAAGTTGAGTAGGTTAAATTTCTCTGACGTGAAACTGCCCCCCCCACACACACACATACCCCGCCATTCATTTCTAACTATTGTCACCCTAGGTTACATACTGGAATCACCTGGAAACTTGAAAAGTACTTACCCATGTTACTGTGTCTCTGGACCCACTTAGTTGTGTTCACACACACCTGACTGTGGTGCACCTGGAGGTTGCTTATGACACCCGGGATCACAGATCCTCTGATCACTGCTTAGGTGCTAGAGGCCAAACCGTGGTCAATCTATGTGTAAGGCAAACCTGTGTTCATTCCTGTCCTCTCTCTGCAGCCCCTGTCCTGTTATTTTAAATATGTTTAGGCTTTTGCTTCTTTTGTACCTTCTCAGTTTCCTAGTTTCCTAAAAGGTTGGATTCTTCATTTCTGACCATGTTTGGACACGTCTATAGGTTTCCATGGTAACTATAAAACTCATGGGACTGGTGGACATGATTTTGATAGGCAGGTGCCATTTTTGATACCCTAAGGTGTAATGGTTACTTAATGAGCCACAGTGAACTCAGCAGTCACTTGAGGCTGACTTGTGTTTGTTGCAGCAGAAAGAGAGGGAATAGAACCTGTATGCCTCTCCAACCTGTGTGAGGTACTAGCTGTGTGCCTAGCAGAGTGTTAATAGTATCTTTAAAATTGGGATAGGGACCAGAGTCATAGTAAAACAGGTAGACGATTTGCCTTGCACGCAGCCAGATTCTATCCCAGATTCTATCCCTGGCACTCCATATGTCCCCAAGCTGCCAGGAGTGAACCCTGACCATGGAGCCCTGAGTACCATTGATGTGGCCCCAAAACCAAAAAATAAAATAATATAAAATTGGGATAATTGGGGCCAGAGAGGTAGTACAGCAGGGAGGGTGCTTTCCTTGCACGTGGATGACCCAGGCTTGGACCTCAGCAGTACATATGGTTCCCCCCAGCCCCACCAATAGTGAGCACAGAGCCAAGAATAAGCCCTATCACCTTGCTATCAGTTTGAGCTATGAAAAAGCACAGAAGAAATTGCTTAAGAGTTCTGGGCTTAGATATTAAGAAGACTGGGTATTTGTGCTTATACTCCAAAAAGTCGGTAAGGAGGTACAGGATAGACTGGTCACTGGGGTGAGACACCACATGAAGAAGAATCAAGATGCTCCAGCCAAAGACATCAGCAAATACTCAGCATTTGAGCAGTGCAGGCAGCAACCATGAGGAGGCCAGCCCGAGCTTTTCACTACTCGGACACCAAGAGTACACTCCTGGCCTTGTCTCAGCCTTGCTTCTGCTCCCCAGCCTCTCTTCTCAGGGCCTTCAGGCCTAAAGTTTTTGCATCACAATGGATTCCTGCCTTCTCAGATGCTTTGCTCTATCTCCAAGGTCACCATGTCTTTTGGATGGTTTGGTTTAGAGACAAGTGAATTTTTTTTTTTAAATCCACATTGCCAACGCTGCCTGTCTGCCTACCAGCAACATTCGGTGCTTAGTAAATATTTGTGGCACGATGCCTACTTTGTGTCATAGACTATATAGTATACTCAGCGTTCTCTTTGAGGCTGCGTGTCTGGTTATCCCTGGTGGTTGCCTGTGATGTAGCACCCTGGATGCCCAGTTCCAGTGCTGCTGTGGCAATCAGTTAGTTTCCCCTGCATCAGACATGTCACACATGTCTGTTCGGGTGCTGCAGACGTTGTTTGTATAATGAATAGGTGCAACTGAGACGTTGTAGAAAGTCTCCATGATCTAAGAGTGGTAACTTAAATATGGTAGCTTAAATATTTTGAATAGGGGAAGACACAAGCCATAAAACAAATATTCACGGGGGCTTGCTCCACTTGAAAGAATGTGAGGAAAGTCAAGCCAAAGAATGCTCTTAAAACAATGTCCAATGTAATAAAGAAGACCAATTGATTCACTAGAAATATGTTAAGCCCAGTAATTTTCAGCTGTCAGTTCGTTCTATTTCCTTTAGAAGTAATTTTCTTTCAGAAGTAATTTGTAATTTAGCTAAGTAGGTCTTTTACTGCCTTTGTTATGTTGATTCAGAGATATTTGAGAATTTTTTTGACATGATTCAAAGTGGGAGTTTTAAATTTTTCTCCTTTTGCTACATTGTTGTTTATATATAAAAAGGCAACAGATTTACATGTATTGAATTTTGTAGTCTGATACTTTACTGAACAAGTATATTATTTCTGGGAGTTTGGAGGTCAGATCTCTCAAGATTTTTTTTTTGTGTGTTTATATGTGCATTTATTCTGAATAAATCCATGTACATACTTTTTGAGAACACTGTTATGAATGCATTATTATGAACCTGTGTACTTTTTTTGGATGCCTCTGTATTTCTTTTTTATTTTTCATTTTTACTAATGAGACACCATGAGGTACAGTTGTAGACTTACAAATTTTTGTGCTTGGGTTTCAATTATACAGTGATCAAATATCCATCCCTCCACCAGTGCCCATTTCCTACCATGACGGATCCCAGTAGATATCTCAAGTTTTAAATGGTGGTAGAGGACTCAATTGTGTTTTAAATGCAGACTGAAATAGTTAAGGGGAAATTTTGCACTGATGGAAATGTTCAACATTATTGATTGGGGTATCTATACTGACCCAAACTCAAAGTGCACATTTAAAATGGGTGTATTTATGAATAAGCTATATCTCTGTGTGGTTAATTTAGGAAGGGAAGGAAAAATCCTCATGTGTGACCATCAGAATATGTTCTTTTGAGATTTTGTAATATTTTGTGAGCAGTCGTGTGGGGAACAAAAATGGAATTCATTCTAATACGTATCAGGCTCAGTAAGTAAGTAGTAACCATCATAAAGTTTGGAAAAGAAAAAGAGCCTCACGGTTTCAACACTAACATTTTTCTTTCTTAGTCTCAGTTTCTAGTTTCTTTCTTAGTTTCTTTCTTGTTATTTATGTTATGTTATATTATTATGATTTCTCCTCTTCCTTAGGGTACTGGAGAAAACAGTTGGATCACATCTCTGCTCACCTCCGATCTTATGCTCAGAACAACCCTGAATTCCGTGCCGTGGTTGCAGAACCCAGGATGGGAAAGGTGGGTGAACTCTGAGGAAACATTCCAATCTGCAGCACCCCAGGGGATCAGATTGAGGTTCCTACCACAGACGTGGGCCAAAAATCACACTCGACATGCCTCCTTTCCCATTCCTACCTGCTTTCTACACTTCCTTTCTGTCATCCCCAGGAGTAGTAACTTCATAAATCATTGGGAAGTCTTGGCACAGGCTCTGCTTCTGGACTCCTTACCTAAGCCACAGATACTGTGAACATCTCAGGCTTTTAGGTATCTGAACATCCTGATGGTCAGAATGAAGAGATCCAGGATTGTATTGTCTGGCCATATTGAATGCTTCAGTTCAATACCATATTAGCAGCAAAAGTAATCCTGAGGGGCTGAAAGCTAGTACAGTGGTTCGGGGGTGTGCTTAGCATGAGCTAGACTGAACTTCAATTCCCAGCATCACCTGGTCCCCCAAATATTGCTTGGTAAAACCCTCGAAGCCCCCTTGGTAAAGTCCTCAATCACTGCTGCGTCTTTTAAGTCTTATATAAGAGTCTGTTGTTCCTTCCTCACCTGCCCTTGCCTGGAATCTGGGTGACCACTTGACTATTGAACAGTATGATCTGAGCTGATGCTGTGGCACTTCAAAGGTATGGCCATAGAAGGCCACACAGCTTCTTCCAACCAACCTTCTTGGAGCTCAGCCACCTCACCATGAGAGGTTCTAGCCACTGGGGGTACTACATAAAAGAACACCCCCTGTAGCTCCAGTTCTCGCATTATCTTGACTCAGAAGCTGGGTAATAAGTGCTGAGATTCTAGGTCATTCTCTCCCCCCCAGCATTGAGGTGCTCTAGCTCTATAGTCCACAGCTAAGGCCTCAGAGCCTCAAGCAGATGGCAATATCTCCTCACCATGCTCCTATGTCTCAATCCAGAAACACAAGAAAATGGTGATTGTTTAATGTCACTGAGTTTGGGATAGTTTTTAACATTGTAGTAGGTAATCAGGATAAGCCATGTTTGATGCTCAGGAAAGTGGCTATGAGTGTTTGATTACTCAGAACTGCAGTGCTTGGTCTTATTGGATTTGGGATTTGAAGCAGATCTCTCAGGTCCCCAGTGGGAATACTTTCTCTGGCATACAGCACTATGATAGAGTCAGACCCAGGAGACAACCATGTCCTCTGCGTGCCAGAAGATTAGGAGGCTTCTCACATCAGCCCATTTTCCCTCTAACATCAAATAGGAAAATAGAGAAAAAGTTTCAGTGTGGAGTATTGCTTTGTTTCCTTTGAGAATTGATTTTGGTGCATTGTAAATTCTCTGACTTAATACAGGGATCTACTAAACAGCGGGTAGGGCGTTCGCCTTACAAGTGGCCAACATGGCCGACCCGAGTTCGATTCCTCCGCCCCTCTCGGAGAGCCCGGCAAGCTACTGAGAGTATTCGATATGCCAGACACAGTAACAACAAAGACTCCAATGGAGACGTTACTGGGCCCGCTCGAGCTAATCGATGATCAACGGGAGGGCCTTTACCTTTACCTTACTAACTACAATCTGAAAGGCAACCTGAGCAGCCTCTCAGTTTTGTCTTACAGAACACTCACTTATTTACTTATATCTGTGGCTGCTTTTGTGCTACAGTTGCAATATGGAATATTCAAGACAGAGACCACAGAGGCCACACAGCTTCAAATACTTACTCTCTGTTCCTTAAAACACCTGTGACCCCAGATTTAACTGGAGTTAAATTCCTCCCACTCCTTTATTTTTTAATTATTTTTTTATTTGAATGTAGGAGTATTGCTAATTATTCAGCCATTAATTAGGCTGAATAATTATTAGCCATTATTAGGCTAATTATTAGCCATTAAATTGCCACCCGCTCCTTTAAAAAAGGAAGTTGTCCACCTGTGATGCTTGACCCTTCAAGGACACCTTTTCCCAGCCATATAGTTCAGGGGAACTTGAGTGTATCTCTTATGTAGACTATAAATGTGAATCTACTTCCTCATCCAACCTGGCAGTCTCTGCTCTTCAGTTGTAGTATTAATTTAATTTATAATGAATGAAATAATAGTTATGTCTGACATTTTGCTATTTTTCATCTTTAACCTAGTTTTGTTGCTCTTTTTCTCTATTTATGCCTTCTTTTGCATTAATGAGTATTTGATTTAATTTGCAGTTTAACAACTCAAAATGTATTGACTGTTGCTGAGGGCACTGAATACCATAACCTCAATTGTGAATTCTCTCTAATATTTTTTTAAAGCTCATCTCTGCTACTGTCCATCAAGATGGCTATGAAGTTAGCCTCAGACTGAATTATATTCAAGTCTCAAACAAAGTGAGTGAAACATCCAGATGTTACCCATTTGAGAACTGACTAGAAAATCGTGGCTTACTGTTTACTGAAATGCTTCTGTGTAACCAACAGAGTGAAAACGTTTCAAGAATTAGAATAGCTGACTAGAGGTTAAACGTTTCAAGAATTAGGATAGCTGACTAGAGGTTAGGCAAGTAATTTTATAAATTGGATAACTAACTGAGCTTTCAGGCACATATCAAAATAGTAACAGAATTATCACCTACCTTATTGGTCCTATTGTTCTCACACTTGATTCTACTCAGTGCAGTTGCATGGTGGGTCTGGGATACAACTGTTTTGAGGAAAGTGCTTATAAAAATGCTTGTTGACCTATACTTTGACCTTTTTGCCCATGTAATTCGAACTTATATAAACCAATTTTTGTTGCCAGTCTTTCTATAACAGATAAAAGATACACTATCTAATATAGCGACTGGGGGCATTGTCAAAGAATCCTGAAGTGTCTGACAGGCATTAATTGGTACTGAAAACTTCAGTTTCATTTCACTGGACAAGAAGTCAGGAGGGATAATAGTGTCTTTAAAATTGGGGTAGCTGGGAGCCAAACCAGAGAGATAGTACAGCGAATAGGGTGCTTGCCTTGAATGTAGCCAAACCTCATAGTCCCCTGAGCACTGTCAGGAGTGATTCCTCAGCACAGAGCCAGGAGTAAGTCCTGAACACTGCTGCATATGGCGAAAAAACCAAGAATTTTTTAAATTTAAAAATAAAATTGGATAGCTACATGGGCCTTGTATAACTCAAAGGCGTTTGAGAGTATTGAGTAGGTGAATGCACATAGAAGTGCTTTGCAACCAACCAAAGCTGTAAATGCTGCGTTTCCAGTTTTGTAGTTAGAGGTCAAGGATGTACTGTTTCCAGTTGTGTAGTTAGAGGTCAAGGATGTACTTCAGGAGAAGGAGAGCGAAGGGTGTGCCTTGTAGACAAGGCAGGGAAAAGGGGCTGAGTGAGCTCTGGTGAGTCATACCACATAGCCAGCACAGTTGAGGCAAGGAGGGGAGGGACATAACCTCGAGGTCAGGCCTTATCTTCTGAGGACAGTTGGCCCAAAGAAGGGACAAGCTAAGAGCTGTTAGCAGCCAACATGGCAGCTGGGGACAGATCTGTTGGGGGCTAGTAAGGAACTGAGTGGACACTGAGAGTTCTAATAGCATAGTGTGTCAGGTATGAGTGCAGTAACTATCCCTAGGTCTAGCACGTGTTTCATCTTAAATGCATATTCTAGTCGATAAGAAGTAATTGATGGTTTCCAGTGGCTAGAGTGGGCAACCCCACAAGGTGAGAGTGAATGCCAGTCTGCAGTATGGGCCAGGTGAACAGAATCTTGGGTCTGCCTGTGCATCATCTCCTCATTCTCTGCACATTCATTTTACTTCCACTGTACCCTTTTTCGAGATAGGCCACAGTATTTCTACTTTACAGATGAGGAATCTGAGGTTCAAAGAAGTGACACTTCTTGGGTCTTTCCAAGGTCATCACTAAACTAGGAAGTAACAACAACTGAGGCTCAAAGTTTCAGCCTGAGCCTCCCCACTGAGCAGCCCAATTCCAAGAGCCACAGTTACTTCTGAATGGTGTGAAGCTGGGGAAGGCGGCTTGACTTGAACCTGTTGGTGGGAGATCCCACAATTAGGAGTGGACCATGACTGAAGTCACAGAGAGGAGAGGAGAGGCCAGCCCCAGGACGTTTTTAAAAGACAAAGTGGATGAAAGGTGGTGTGAGGAAGGTGTCAGGAAGGATGCTGGGTTTCAGGTGTGGTTAAGTACTCAGTAGGTGAATGTGAGTGTAAGTGTTTTGGACCCAAACAAAGCTGTACACTGTAAATGCATTGTGTAGTTCGAGGTCAAGAAGGTACTTCCACAGAATGGGATAAAGGGGTGTTGGACAAGGCAGAAGAGAGCAGCAGTTTTCTCTCTGACAAGAAAGAGCAGCACGTTAGCAGGGCCAGTCTTTCTGCCTCTTCATTCACTGTGCTTGAATTTTCTCCTTGGCTAGAACCTTTACCTCAACAAGTCGACAAATTTCAGTGACCAGTTTCTGAGCAGTGTCAGCGAGGGCAGTGATGGACATTTTGGCAGTGGGTCCAGCCCAGGTGAGTTGAACCCTTCTGGTGATTTCAAGACATTTTACCAGAGGTATACTGACTTGACAGAGAATTAAACTCTTCCAACCCAAGCAGACATTCTTAATTTTATGCTCTAAACTATTTCATTCTTCTGGCTTCCATTAGTCAAAGGTGAGACATTTGAAGTCTTTCACAGGGATTGGGGAGCAGTATGGGAGATGGAGAACTTTGAGGGGCCTTTTAGCCAAAATCCCTTTTGTGAATCACTGTCCACCCACCCTCTAGTCCCCTGCTGAAGAGAGTGGTTTCAGGAGTTCTTCCTGCCTGGTAATCACACAAGAATTTCTATAAATTCTATTTTATTTTTGTAACCTCTAAAGGTGTATTGGCATCAAATAGCACTTTGCCAGTTGGCATTTGCAGCAGACATTATTTTTTCCCTCTACTCTTTGTCATTCCAGTGAGTGACTACAGCCAGAGCATGTCAGATACCACTGAAAAACTCAAGAAGACAAAGCATTTCAAGATCAAAAACCTTCATGAAAAGGAGAAACAAATAACAGTATGTGCACTCCTTGACCATTTAGCTGCCTTGATCTTCAGAACATCTATTTAATAGTCTATTTTGATATTAATGTGAACAGAAAAACACTCTTTTTTATTTTTTCTTTTTTTTGCATTTTTTTTATTTTTTAATTTTTATTAGTGAGACACCATGAGGTACAGTTGTAGACTTACAAATTTTTGTGCTTGGGTTTCAATTATACAATGATCAAATACCCATCCCTCCACCAGTGCCCATTTCCTACTACCAGGGTCCCAGTATCCCTCCCATCCTCCATCCCTCCCATCCCACCCTGCCTCTGTGGCAGGGCATTCCCTTTTGTTCTCTCTCTCCTATTGGGTGTTGTGGTTTGCAAAAGAGGCAATGGGTAGCAATCATGTTTGGTCTATAGTCTACTTTCAGCATACTTCTCCCATCCTGGGAGGATCCTCCCAACACCCTTTATTTGGTGCTCCTTTCTCGATCTGAGCTCCCTTTTCCCCTAGCATATGTGGCTGGCCTCCAAGCCATGGAGTAAAATTCCTGGTACTAATCTTGGCCATTCTTGGGAAAACACTCTCATTTTTTATTCCTCTTTAAAAGCAGTGTGTTTTCATTTCATGGAGGTAGACTCTTTGAAAGTATTTTGTTTGTGTGTGGCATAGAGATAGTATGGTGGCGTGGGCACTTGTATGTAGCCGGGCCAGGCTTCGATCTCCAACATTACATATGGTCCTGTGAGCACCACAAGAAGAGATCACAGAGCCAGGAATAAGCCCTCAGCACCACCAGATGTGGCTCACAAAGCAAAGTAATAATAATAAGAAAATAGATAAGGACATAAAAAAATCTCAATTATTGGTGTTTTTTTGTTTGTTTGTTTGTTTGTTTTGCCTTTTTGGGTAACACCCGGCGATGCTCAGGGGTTGCTCCTGGCTCTGCGCTCAGGAATTACTCCTGGCGGTGCTTGGTGGACCATATGGGATGCTGGGAATTTAAAAAAATTCTCAATTATTACTGTGTTTGGCATATCGAACACGTCACGGGGAGCTTGCCAGGCTCTGCTGTGTGGGCGAGATATTCTCGGTAGCTTGCCGGGCTCTCCGAGAGGGGCGGAGGAATCGAACTTGGGTCGGCCATGTTGGCTGCGTGCAAGGCAAACGCCCTACCACTTTGTTTATATGTTTGGGGGCCACACCTGGTAGTGCTCAGGGCTTATTCTTGGCTCTGCACTCAGTGGTCATTCCTGGTGGGACTCGGAGAATGATATGTGGTGCTGGAGATCAAACCACATCAGCTTAATGCAAGTCAAATACCATAACCACTGGCACAAATACCATAATCACTCTGGCTCAATTAGGATAATTCTCAAGTTCTCACCAGTTTCCTGAATCACTTCTGTTTCCTCTAGGGTCAGCTTCAGCTGCTGATTTACCTTGCTTGTTTTTTCTCAACTACGTGTCAGATCATACTGTCAGAGGAAGGGTTAGTTTGTTTATCAGGGTGCCTGGCATGGATGCTCAGTAAGCATATGTGGGCCTGAGGGTCTCTGTGGGCAGATGAGCTGCCTGTGAGGGAAGGTTTTCCTGGGAGAGAATGTGGTAAGGAAGCAGAAGAAAGCACTGGAGTTTCCCCAAGGGATGGCATGTTTAATGCTCTAGTGGGTGCGTTCCTGGGTGGGGCTTTTTCTTGCCCTGCAACCCTTCCCTGCACCTCTCAGAGGCCTGGGCTCAGCTTTGCTTTCCTTGTTGAGTCCCAGACCCCCCAGTGGAAGTCTTTGTTAGGCAGATTAATGAACTCTGGAAAATAGTTTCTAGCGTTTAAGAAAAGAACAAACACTTTCTGCCCTTCTTACCAGCCATCAGTACTATTCACAGGAGAGCTCTTGAATATTGCCCTGCATTTGCTCTCCTTCTTCATTAACACTGAGCTACAGGTCTCTGTGGAGAAAAAAAATCTGACTTCTGGAGTCTGAACCTACTTTTTCATTTATTTCCCTCTCATATTTCATCTACTATTAGTCTTTGGAATTCCCCACAATTTTTGATCGACTGCTGATATAATCCTTTTAGAGTTTCCCATAGCTGTTAGAGTTTTGGTTTTCAAAAATGTAGGCCACAGGGCTGAACAGTTGGCACAGCGGATAGGGAACTTGCCTTGCATGATGGAGACTGGAGCTCCACCCCCAGCATTACATATGCTGACCTAAACACTGTCAGGGTTGATTCCTGAGCACAGAGCCAGGAGTTAGTTTTGAGCACTGCCAGGGGTGTCCCAGAACAAAGCAAACAATAGAGACCACAAATCACATTCACAGGAGTTTGAAAAGAAGACTGGACGCCCTTGCTCGGACCCCTGCTTCCCCCGAGTGTACCCTCTCCATCTGCAGGAGGGAAGAAGCCTGGGTCTGTGGTAGGGGGGAGATTGAGATGAGCAGTGTCCATTCCCCTTCCCTCTGCAGGCACCCGGCTTTCAGGCCTCATCCCCAGCATGCGACAGGTTCCCAGCCGGCATCATGATTCCTCTGACACCAGAGACTTCCCCTCCACAAGCTTTGTAAATAGGAGCTACCTATAAACTGGGGGAAAGGGCTTAATATAGTGTTAGCTTTCCTGGCTTATAATTCCTTGTACACTCCACCACCTCCCATTTACCTAATAACAATTTACTACCTTAGAGACTCTATCCACTTACTCTGTATGTGACTGAATCCCCCATTTTCTTATTTTCTCATTCATAGTTAAGGGACAAGACAGCAGAAACCCCTGCACCCATTTCACTCATTTATTATTTATTTTATAGGAGCCTTCTCGGCAGTGCTTGGGGGCTTGTAGGGCACTCCCAGTGATATTCAGCCTGGTGTACACACGTGAGGGTTTAATACTTGGGCTTGATGATGTGGGCCTGCCTGGACCCAGGGTTACTGGGGGCACTAAGCCACACCCACTGGTGTGAGGAAGTATGCAGAGCCTTGTATGTATTCGGGATGCACTCCACCTCTACCTCCTAGCTCTGTTCACTGATTTTTTTTATTAATATTTTAATTGAATCACCAAGAGATATACAGGACAAAGCTTTCATGATTGAGTTTCATATAATGTTCTAACACCCAGATTATTTTTGTGCACATATGTATCAGGCATAGATGTTGAAATTGAGACATCAAGTTGATGTTCTATTGCATTTTCCCATAAGAAAAGGCATTTGGTATAGATAACTATATGACCTCAAGTCTCCCGGGGAGTTCCTTAGAGTACCTTGTTCCAAGCTACTCACCATAGAGTATGAGGCCCTGGGGATTCAGCCTGAACCTGGTATCTTCTGAAAGACACAGAAACCTGACCAGCATCCTTATCCCAATGGCTTTAGAGAGAGCTGCAGGTGGGGCAGGTATTATTTCCGCTTTCTCTTGTTTGTTTGTTTTTGTGTCACACCCAGCATTGCTTAGGACTTACTCCAGGCTCTGAGTTCAGGGATCACTTCTGGAGAGGCTCAGGGTGCCATATGGAATGCTAGAAATCAAAAACGGGTCAGCCAGATACAAGACAAATTTTCTACCCTCTGTACTATCACTATGGTCCCTGTTTCTACTTTGAAGGGAAAGAAATGGCAGTTCCAGGAAAACCCTAGGAGTCACTTGAGATCCAGTGTCTGAAATATACCAAACACATTTCCTTTAGTCTTCCAGCATCCAGTGTTTGAATCTTTATAAATAAGGAGAGATTACACATAAAAATGAATTTGGGGAGCTGGAGTGATAGCAAAGTGGGTAGGGTGCTTGCCTTGCACTCAACTGATTCTGGGTCAATCCCATAGGGTCCCTGAGCACCAGCAGGAGTGATTCCCCTGACCCAAAAACAAAAAGAAAAAACAAAACAAAAAGAATTTGATCATATTCTAAAATTGTTAAAAACAGTAAGCTTTTTAAATTTCTGATGATAGCTGCTTTTCCCAAGCAGGAGGTCAGCTTTACCAGTTTACTCAGCACAGCGGGCAGGCGTCTGCTTTTCACATAGCCAACCCAGGTTTGATTCCTCCGTCCCTCTTGGAGAGCCTGGTAAGCTCCCTGTGGTGTATTCGATATGGCAAAACAGTAACAAGAAGTCTCACAATGGAGACATTACTGGTGCCCGCTTGAGCAAATCGATGAACAACGGGAGGAGGACAGTGCTACAGTGCTACCTTATTGTCTTCAAGAAGTAATAGAACTAGTAGGGGATTTCTGGTTGTTGTGGTGGTGGTTGTGGGTGTGTGTGTGTCTCATTGCAATTCTGACCTCAATAATGGTAGTGTGACAACCAACAATTTATGTATTAGATGTCTTAGTGCTCTTGAAGACTGTACACACATACACAGACACACAGACACACACACACTCACTCTCACACACACACACACATATACACATGCACACACCCCTGTCCCTAAATCCAAAGTCCCAGGACTTAATCTTGAAAAGAAAACATTTCCTTGAGCGTTGAGCTTGGGCAGGTGGGACTTGAATGCATAATATTTTGTTTCAGTGAACATGATCATCTGTAATCCCACAGCCTGAAAACAGACTCCTGTTGAAGGAAGTTGGACCTACAGGAGAAGGAAGAATCTCTGTGATTGAACACCTGCTGGATGAAGTAAGTGTTGCTAAATGAACAAGTGTCTCTAGGATTTTCAGCTCAGCATTCATTTTGCCTCTATCTCTTTTGCGTGGAGGATTTGTTCAATATTGATATTATCACAGTACATTTAATTGAAAACCATCTGGAAATGGATTTTATTTTTAAGTCAAAATCTTGTTAATTATTACTTGTTGGTAGATTTTATAGCAAAAAAATAGGCAAAAGAATACGTGGCTATGTGAATATTAATAACATATGAAAGTAAAAGAATCCCTGGTAGGTGGCTGTGTATCTCCTTTATTGATTGAGATTCTGTGGTTTAGAATATTATTAATAATGGTTTCTCATACATATAATTCCAACACCACATCTGTAGGATAACATTGGTTTGCCCTTCCTCTCTGGCTGCTGGGAGCTTGTGTTTGTTGATTGCCCCTCAAACTGTCAATTACCTTTGTCTTCTGATCAGACTCGTACTTGAAAATCTTGTCTTTCTCTTCTCCTTAATGTATTTTGCATAGTTAGTTATTTCAGAGCAATTGCTTTTTGTATGGATACAGGAAGACAGTTAAAAAGACAAGCCTGTGGCTTGGGAGTTGATTGACTCCAGATAATATACCTTCTAGACATCTGTTCTCTTGGCGTAAGCCTCAGTTGCCCTTACTTCCTAATCCCCAAAATCAGGGTCCTGATGTGGGACTGGACGGACCCAGGGCAGGCAGTGAGTTATGAGCTACCCTGGCATCAAAATGGGCCTGGCCAAAGTGCCCTAGTACTTAACTATAAGTTAAGAGCTTGGTCATGGACAAATTCTGTCATGATCCAAAAGTAGTGACTAGATTTGGACCCTCCTGGGGTTAGGAATGATTGATTCGGCTTGAGCACTGTAGTCTGAGTCTATGGTAAGCTGTCTCCAGGAGAATCTAAAAGCCTAAAAGTGTCTATTACTACCAACCTAAAAGTGTCTATTATTGTTTCCATACAGAAAGGTAAATATTAGAAAGGAAAATTAAGTTGCAGGTCTAAGGAGAGAAGAAACACACCTTAAGGGCTGTTTTGCCTTTGTGGGCTGCAGGTGGTCAGGAAAAACATTTTTGATTATGCTTCCCGTGGGGAGGCGTGGTTGGGGAGGAATGGTGAGAGGATAAACAAGAGCAGCTTCAGGGAGAAAGTGTTGGAGAAATTGATTGATGGTTGGTTGAATGGATTGATGGATTGAAGGAGAGGGGCTTGAAGGAGAAAGAAAGAAGAGAGACAGCAGAGAGATAGAGGAGACAGATACGGCAGGAAGAAAGAATTGTGCATTGAGAGAGAGAGAGAGAGAGAGAGAGAGAGAGAGAGAGAGAGAGAGAGAGAGGGTTGGAGAGACCTGGGAGAGACAAGAGATTGAATAAACGACAACTAATCAGCAACCAGCTTGGCCCTCATTCTTCCTTTGGCCGTCCAAGGCAATAGCAATCCCAGGTGGAGAAGCGACTCGAGAGCACTGAACACAGGCAGCGAGTGAGAGCTGGCGGGAGAGCCCGCGAACACATCCTTTCACGTGTAATCCCAGCGCATGTGAGGGATTTACACAGCTCAAGAGGGGGATTTACACAGCTCCACACGTGAGTGGGATTTTACACACACCCATCGTCAGTGTACTCTCCTCCCTCCTCCAAGGATCCTAACACCTCTTCCTCTCAAAGAAGCAACTTATCTGAATTCCCTGTGGTCCACCCCGCCCCCCACTACTCCCTATGTGAGATAGAGGTTTCATTAGAGTCAGTAATTCTCTAGCTTCTTGACTGAGTCTTGGGGTTCCTAATTCTCTTCTCTTTTCACTTAAAGCTGCTTAGTGTTAGTTACTCTTAATAGGATGGCGACTGATTGCACTGAGTTCGGGGTGCTGGGGTTGTGGTCACTTTGTTCTTTTTATGCTTCAGGGAGCAGATCCCAATTGCAGTGATGATGAAGATAGGCCTGTTTTAACTTTGGCTGTTGTGAATAAACACCATGAAGCTATCCCTGTCCTTATGCAGAGAGGAGCAGACATTGACCAGCAGTGGGGCCCGTAAGTGAAATATAATGAAGGGAAAGTTCTGGTACCTTCTCACAAAGGACACTGCTATAGCAAAATTCATGTACGTGCATGCCTTGTTCAATTTGAACCTCTTAGGATCTATTTTAACCCATATGGAACTTAATCAGAGGCTCAACTGCTTCTCCTTCTTTTTTTCAAATCTGGGTAAAACAAAATTTTGAAAGTGAACTATGAGACTGCCTAACTTTTATAAACGATGCCTTTTTTCTTTTTACAAAAGTTCATTATGCACTAGACTGTGAAACACTTCGTTCTAGAATCAGTGGAAACAGACACAAAGCAGAAAATCCAGATGCTTACAGAGGAGTGAAATGAAATCACCGTTGCCTTGGTCACAGAGAACAAGCTGACTTTTCCTCAGCATGTTTCTGAATTCCACCTGAGGTGGCCAGGGGTGCACTTCCCTGATGCCTTTGCTCTTTCCTTCTGAGTTTCCTCAGCATCCTTGTGTCTGCTTGCAGGGCTCCCTTTCCATGCTCATTTCCTTGGCCTGCTCCCAGGGCTGCTTCACCATGACACCTTTATGGTGAAACAAGGCCCCTGCAGTTCCCTCCCCAGACCAATGGGAGGCAGGAGAATCCTGAGCCTTTTGGTTTTTTAAGCAGTGCTTTCCTTCTGATCTGAACTAAGAGCAGGAGAGAAGAGCCCTCACTAAGTAATACATTCACCCTGATAATTCTTGCTTTAGCATTGTCTGTTGTTCCTTGACCATGTTCGATGATGCTTTGTCTAACCACTGTCATTTCTTTACTCACATTCATGTTTTGGCATTCTATTGCTACTTCTTTTTCCTTTATTTATTTTTATTATAACACCAAAACTTTCTTCTAAGGAAACCTTTTTTGGATTAATTTTAGTGGATTATTCATAACAAACAATACAAAATTAATTATTTAGGTTCTGCTTTGGGGGTATGGTGTGGGATTTGGGGTGGAAACATTTTATTTGGGGGGGGTTAGAAACATTTGAAATATCGTGATGGGCAGGTGCAGTGGTGTTGGAATTGGTGTTCAAATATGAAATGAATTATTGTGAACAACTTTATAAAATTTAAAAAAATAAAATAAAAATAACACTGTTTACAAAGTTGTTCATACAGTTGTTTTGGGCGTTAAATGTTCCAACACCAACCCCACTGTCAATCCTTTCTTAATTATTATTGTTAATACAAATAGCATGTTAGACTTGCATATCTGACCATCATCTGTCCGTGATAGCTCCTGACTGCCTGGTTATATAAATGAATGTAAGCGCATGTTAGTGTTTCCTACCTTTACCTCATTGTCTCCTTTTCCCTATGTCTCAAAACTTCTTCTCATTCTGGTTATTTTTTACAAAGTTGATCACATTTATATTTTCTTGTGGTAATATAATGAAGACTTGCTGTGTTATATTTTCTTGTTTATGTGTTCAAGATAATATACCAAAGACATAAAGATTATAGGCCACTCAAAGTAGACTTCTCTTTCACAAATGTCAAATGGGTTTTCCCCACACTGTATATTATTCAGTCAAATCACATTTTTTGTCTTTTATGAGCTATGAATAACTTACAATCATTGTGTTGTTTATTTTCCTGGAATTTTTTGTTTGCTTCCCCTCCACCCCAGAGGCTATTTTTGTATAAACAGTGCCCAAGAGGTCCGAACCAAGATTGAAACTATGTCCAATATATTCCATAAACTTTTGTAGAAAATTCACTCAGATAATATTTGTTAGAATGTATTGACTAAAACCAAATCTTTGTGAGTTTCCTCACTTTAAAAAAAATGGATGTTATGGGGGTCATTGAAATAGTACATTGAAATAGTCAGATAGTACTGGTTCAAATCCCTAGCACCACATATGGATGGTCTTCCCACATCACCAGGGGTCACCCAAGAGCACAGCCAGGTGTTGCCCCCTAAACAAACTCAAAAAAGTATGTGCGTATATATTTTTACTTTCTGTAATATCAGGGATTACCATCTTTACAGTAATCCTCTAAGGGGAGAGGCAGAATGAGAAGAATCAAGGCCTCCTTTCCTGATATCTTGATATTTATTTATTTATTTATTTATGCTAAATATTTATTCGGGTTACTGTTTTCCTCCAACAGCCTTCAAAATACAGCCCTCCATGAAGCAACTCTGCTTGGCCTGGCAGGAAAAGAGTGTATTGCTGCTTTACTTCGGTATGTTCCCTGGCCTGGGGAAGGGGGTGCTGCTGAGAACCACAGTGATCCCCTGCTGACCCTAATTCCTTCTAAGGGACCCAGTGCCTAAAGCCTCAATGCAGAGAATGGCGGCAACCATCTCCAACCTCCCCCAGCTTCCTGAATGTGAAGGACTTTTAAAAGAATAACGAAAACACTGACCCCATTAACCATTCTCTGTTGTGGGCTTTTGAAGTCATGGCCCAGGTTGACCATTGAACTTTTGGAATCACAGAAACCCTCAAAACGTCTTAGGGTAAAGCCACTCTGGAGAACTAGGGTCATAAAAGGCCCTTGAGGACCTTTGGGCAGGTGGGGTCAAGAAGAACCAGGCCTCCAGATTGAAGTGCCTTCAAAGTACTTATAGGCTCCCTGTCCCCTTCACAGATATGATGCAAACATCCAAAAGAAGAATTTGAGAGGCGAGACAGCATATGACCTGGCTCTGAAACTTAGAGATGAGCTCATCACCTCGCTCTTTGCTGCCAAGCAAGCCTGGATGACTGTTACGTAAGAGTCCTTTAGTGGGGCTCTGGTCTTGAAGTGTAAAGAAACTGTGCTTCTTTTTTCTTGTTTTGTTTCTGAAATGTGTGTTTGAGGTTTGGAAATTGAGACTAAGAGGAATTCAGATGATATTTAAAAGTATTTGACAGTGTAAGCCATGCATACCACGAGGGCTTTTAACACTGTTAAAGTAAAGTAAAGGCCCTCCCGTTGATCATCGATTTGCTCGAGCGGGCCCAGTAACGTCTCCATTGGAGACTTTGTTGTTACGGTGTCTGGCATATCAAATACTCTCGGTAGCTTGTTAAAATGATTGTAATACCTTTTTTGATTATTGCTGTTTTTTAATTTGTTTGTAATAGGAAATCATTATGATTTGTCTAGAGGTAAAAGGCATAAAGTATTAAGTAGAGAAAAGACTCCCTTCTGTTCCTGTTCCATACCTTTTCTCAGTGTCATCTGTATCTAGAAATAACACTGGAGTATGTGAGCACATGTATATAATTGATGTATGTGTACACATATACAGTTACCATCTAATACAAGTACAGATGAGTCATATATTTCCATCCTTTGTTCTAAGACAAGTAGTAGCTTTAAAAAAACATTGTAGTGCATCCTCTTCTGCTTAATATATTTGTGCTTCCAAATTGGTACATAAAACTTGAGCCCTTTTTTTTAAAACTTTTAAAATTTTCTTATGTTGCACTCATTAATATTCTATTTTTTTCTTCCTTGGTTGATAAATAAGCTTTGAATAAAACATTTTCAGAAATGTGTGATTTCAAAGAGAGAGAGACCCCCCCCCCAATAAATATAATCAGAAATGGAAAGGGGAACATCAAAACAGAAGCCACAGAAATTCAAAGGATAATCAGAGGTTACTTTGAGAATCTTTATGCCATAAAACAAGAGAACCTTGAAGAAATGGATAAATTCCTGGACTCCTACAATCTCCCAAAGCTGACCCAAGAAGACTTGGAATACCTGAACAGACCTATTACTATCAAGGAAATTTAAATAGTAATCAAAAATCTCCTGGAAAACAAAAGCCTTGGCCCAGATGGATTCACTAGTGAAATTCTTCCAAACCTTTAAAGAGGACCTACTTCCAATACTGTTCAAGCTTTTCCAGGAAATTGAAGAAACAGAAACACTTCCAAACAGTTTCTATGAGGCATATATCACTCTAATACCAAAAGCAGACATAGACACAACAAAAAAAGAGAATTATAGGCTGATATTTCTGATGAACATAGATGCAAAGATCCTCAACAAAATACTAGCAAATAGAATCCAGTGACTCATAAAACAGATCATAAACCACAATAAAGTAGGATTCATTCTGGGGATGCAAGGATGGTTGAACACTCACAAGTCAATCAACATAATACACCATATCAATAAAAGGAAAGATAAAAACCATATGATCATAGCAATAGATGCAGAGAAGGTATTTGACAAGATCTAGAAGCAATTTATGATAAAAACCCTCAACAAAATGGGAGTCGAAGGAACTTTCCTCAATATAGTCAAAGCCATCTACCACAGGCCTAAAGCGAGCATTATTCTCAATGGGGGAAAAACTCAGAGCCTTCCCTCTAAGATTAGGGACAAGACAAGGTTGCCCATTCTCACCACTTATAATCAATATAGTACTGTAAATACTTGCCATAGCATCCAGATAGGAAAGGAAGAAGTCAGGCTATCACTGTTTGCAGGTGACATGACACTATACTTAGAAAATTCTAAAGACTCTACAAAAGGCTCCTAGAAACAATAGGTTTGTATAGTAAGATGGCAGGTACAAAATCAATACCTAAAAGTCTATGGCTTTCCTATATACAAATAATGAAAGAGAAGAGATTTTTTAAAAAAAAATCTTGTTCACAATACTGTCTCAGAAAAATCAGGTACCTTGGAATCAGCTTAACTAAAGAGGTGAAGGATCTATAAAAAGAAAACTACAAAACACTACTTCAAGAAATAAAAGAGGACACGAGGAACTAGAAACATATCCCCTGTTTATGGATTGGGAGAATTAACATTGTCAAAATGACGATACTCCCCAAAGCATTACACAGATTCATTGCAGTCTCTATTGAGGATACCTATGACATTCTTCAAAGAAATTGACAAAATACTCCTGATATTCATATGGAGCATTAAACCCCCATGAATAGTTAAACCAATGGAATAGAGTTGAATATTCTGACACAGACGCTCAAGTATATAATCATTTCATCTTTGATAAAGGAGCAAGAAATGTGAAATGGAGCAAGGAAAGCCTCTTAAAAAAAAAGTGGTCCTTGGAAAATTGGACAGCTCCCTGCAAAAAAAATGAACCCAGAACTCTGTTTAACACCAAGCACAAAGTCAGATCTAAATGGATTAAAGATCTCAATATTATATCTGAATCCATAAGGTATGTGGAGGAACATGTAGGCAGAATCCTCCATGATATTGAAGCTATAGGTATCTTTAAGATTGAAACACCACTGACCAAACAAGTGGTCCCTAGTTTTCCAGTAGCTTGGCAGTCACACCCACAAACTGCCCTTGATGCCATATAATCTCATCAATGGCCAAGATCCAGAGACCCTGAAATAAAGCTACCGAAAAACAGCACCATCCGATCGTCCTGGAGCATGCAGCCGCAAATTACTCTCTAGCCCACTGATATACCAAAAGTAGCACACATTTGTTTGGGTTTAACATACGTGCCTATAGTTTCTTACACAAGGGCTTAAATGGCTCCAGAATTAAATACAACAATCTCCACACACTTTCCTCTTATGGTGGTAGGACTGTGCATAGTGGTGGGATTGGTGTTCGAATATTAAATGTAGTGAACTATTGTGAACAACTTTATAAAAATAAAAATAGAAAAAAAGTTTAAAAAAAGAAGGAAGATGCTTGCCACAGAAGCAGGGGGTGAGATGGAGTGAGGGTGGTGGGAGGGAATACTGGGGACATTGGTGGTGGAAAATGTGCACTGGTGGAGGGATGGATATTTCATCATTGTAAGGCTAAAACTCAATCATGAAGTCTTTGTAACTGTATCAACTGTATTTAATTTTAACAGTGATTAAAATTTAAAAAAAATAGATGTGATAGTTTTTTTAAATTGTGATTTTAGATCTTGGGTAAAGCTGTGCCATCTCAAACTCCCTATGTTGTTTTTGCTTATATGTACAGGTAGAATATTAATTAGCCTAGGGATCAGAGAGATAGTACAGGGGCTAATGTGCTTGCCTTGCATGTGGATTACCCTGGTTCAATCCCTGCCACCTCACCATGCCCTGAATACTGCTGGAAATGGACCCAGAATACAAAGCTAGGAATAGACCATGAGCACCATTTTGTATAGTCCCTACCAAATATCAGCTTGGATAATTAATTTAGCACAATAAGTTATTGACCTTGTTGAAGCTCTCGCCATCATCACTGCCTGTACTCTATTTTCATGTTTGGATGACTGGAGCGAGGATAGGTACAGGTCTTTGTTGCAGTCTAAACCCTCTCTTGGGGTTGGGAAGTACCAGAATGAACTTTCCCCGTCAGACTGTTGGGGTTTCAGTAAGGGGTCACAGTGTCTAGAGAGTGTGAGCATCTGGTGTGCTGTGTGACAGGGTAGTTGGTGCCATGTCTGCTGAGAGGACCTTTCCCAGCATTTTCAGCGTGTAGGGTTGTGATCAGAGTCCAGGCCAGGGGCTGGAACAATAGTACAGGAGTGGGCTGTTTGCCTTACACAAGGCCAACTGGGATTCGATCCCTTATATCCCAGATGGTTCTCCCAAATCCTGCCAGAAGTGATCCCAGGAGTAAGCCCTGAGCCAGGTGTACCCCCCTCAAAACACACACACACACACACACACACACACACACACACACAGTCACACACACCAGAGTCAAAGGGCCATGGAGATAGCTCAAGGGTCAGTGTCCTTGCAGGAGGACTAGACCAATTCCCAATAGCACATGGTCTTCCAGACACCTCATGGTGCATGGGGAGTAGCCTCTCAGCACCATGGATGTGCTTCCCACACCCTGCCCCAAATTTACAGAGCTGGCTGTCAGAGAAACTATTCAAGATTTGGGATTCATATAGTGACACAACAGCTATCACACCCATAAGGTGGTCAGGGTACCAGATAGACCTGTGACTCCCACCCACCCACAGGCTCTGGAATCTAATCAGGAGGCAGGCAATGGAGTTCAATGACCCTTCCCCAAACCTTGAGGAGCAAGAAGAATAGCCTGTGTTCCTGAAGCAGTGCCTCTAGGGCCACTGTCCCTAGAGTGCAGGAAACGAGTTGTGTTCCTTGGGATTTCCACTCTTCTGGGTGGATGCTCCTGTGGTCTATCTAAAGTACCTGCTGTCGAGCACAGGGGTCCAGTGCATTCTAGGTTCACCCTTGGAACTAAAGCCCAGCCCGTGTAAGTCACCCTTGAGTCACTCCTTTGGAATCAAACCTCATCTAAAGAGTGAACAGGTAGTTTAATATCTATGATGTCAGAATACAGGTGCCAAACCCAGAACTCTGATGAAATCTACAGGATTGCATGAAAACTAGAGAAATATGGAACTTTTTCAGTTCATAAACATTCAGTTCACCGAATTTTTTACATAAAGCTGTATAAACACAGTGTTTTTAGGACAAAGAATACTATAAAGTATAGGGCAATTCCAATTTGATAGTTCATGGGTGGGGGGACTATGGAAATCACTCATGTGGTAGAGCATTTTCCTGGACTCAGCGAGTCACTGAGTTCAATTCCTGGTAGCCCATACCCCCAACCTTAGTACTGACCACCTCAGTACCACCTAGCTCAAGCTCTGAACCATCAGGCCTATAGCACTGGCACTTGGCAGGCATGGCCGCTGGCTCTGTTAAAGTTGGCTCCTAAAAAAACAAGCTTGTTACTATACACTTACATTTATAGCTAAAGACAAAGTTTAGTTAACATTCTTTTTTTAAAAAATTTATTTATTGAATCACTGTGGGAAAAGTTGCAAACTTTTCAGGTTTAAGTCTCGGTCATGCAATGATCAAACACATTTCCCTTCACCAGTACTTATTTTTCACCACCAAGAACCCCAATATACCCCCCTCCCACCCCTCCCAATGT